CTCGTTCTTCTTGTTTATTTTGCTGTTCGTACTGCCACTGTTGCAGGTTTTCTTGCAAATGCTGTAATCTCTCTTCTTGTTTCTTTTCTAGTTTATTTTCTCGTTCTTCTTGTTTATTTTGCTGTTCGTACTGCCACTGTTGCAGGTTTTCTTGCAAATGCTGTAATCTCTCTTCTTGTTTCTTTTCTTGTTTATTTTCTCGTTCTTCTTGTTTCTTTTCTTTTTCCTCCAACAACTGCTGTAATTTCTCTTCTTGTTTATTTTCTTTCCCCTCCAACCACTGCTGTAATCTCTCTTGTTTATTTTGTTGTTCGAGCTGCCACTGTTGCAGGTTTTCTTGCCACTGCTGTTGTCTCTCTTCTTGTTTCTTTTCTTTTTCCTCCAACAACTGTTGTTATCTCTCTTCTTGTTCATTTTGCTGTTCGAGCTGCCACTGTTGCAGGTTTTCTTGCAAATGCTGTAATCTCTCTTCTTGTTTCTTTTCTTGTTTATTTTCTCGTTCTTCTTGTTTCTTTTCTTTTTCCTCCAACCACTGTTGTAATTTCTCTTCTCGTTCTTCTTGTTTCTTTTGCTGTTCGTGTATTGCTGCCATCAAGTCTGCTAGGCTGTAGTTTGATTTGCCGCTTCTCGTTTCCATTTTTTTTTCTATCTCACTTCTGACACCAATTTGTTACGTCTCCGTTAGTTAATTGATTTTTCGTAACTTTGTTCTGACGAAACTTTAGCGACACAAGTCCTTACTTAATAAAACTGATTTATTCTTTCCGAATATAACTTTACGATACACTTAATTTCAACAATCACGGTAAAACAAACTATAATTCACTTCAACAATACGTCTCTCTCTGACTGCAGTTCAATTACTCATTACCTTCACACACATTACCGTCACGTTGTCACCCTCTTTTATATACCAGCCTACCCTATATCTAGTAAATACTAGAGCATTCGCCAAGGTACAGGATAGTTCTAGAAAATAGGTGGCGCCACACCTGTCACGTGACCTCGATGACGCAACAATATGTACAAATTATCTTTATATAATAAATAATTGTAAATTATTAATACGTTTTGTAAGTGATAGGTTTTTAAAAAAATACATGAATTAATTTTTGTATGACAACTTAATTCACAAAAACTAACTTAGAGCTTAAACATTTTAATTTGTTAAAATAATAATAATTGTCCCGTAAGGTTTACTCGGCTTTTTATTCTCTTTAATTATCAGTTATGTCGCCATCTGTTGACAAACATTTGTTGTATAGTCTGTACTTTTTTTTAGGGTCCTTTCATATGCGTATTGCCTTCCATAATTTATCTTATAAAATTTTAAAGAAAAAATGATTTTGAAGATCAGTGTAATTATGTTCAAAATGGCGTTTCCTGTACCTATTTTGAAAGGCTACTGCAGCTAAAGTAATTATGAAAAATATCCAAATCTAGGTAACATACGTTGTTTTCAATTCACCTCATATTGAATGGTCGAAGTTCTTATTCTGCTTTTTTCTTGACATCTTCACAGTTGAAGATGTTGCGGCAACGCATTTAATTTTTAGTTAATTGCCGGTTTTCTTAGCTTGAACATTAGAAATTCTAATATTCTAAGTTGGAATTCTTCCCGAGAATGGCTGATGACGCGGTAGAATTTGGAGGTAGACACAACAGAGGCTCTTTAACTTTTAAAGACAAACAAGATTCATTCAGTAAAAAGACTATAAAGAACGACCTTTACACTCCAGATATATATTTTTATTTTATTTTATATGTATCTGAAGTGTAAAGATCGTTTTTTAAAAACTTTTTATCAAAATATGTAAATCCCTCCAGTATGCACTACAAATTTTGAAAGACAACAAAAGATTTATTGAGCACCTTGTTAGTAGTATATGGGTTCACGTGCCCAAGGATATATTGGATCAACCACTAGAAGACTCTGTAGTTGAATAAAAATAACATTATAACACTAAAACCTACAACACCAGTAGTATTACCAACCACTGTCTAAACGAATGTGGCGTTGTGCCTATCTTCAATTTCTTCCACGGCATCCTCCATTGCTGGGAAGAATTCCAACTTAGAATGCTAGAATCTCTTGTTATTAAGTTAAGAAAACCAGTTCTTAACCTGAAGATAAACGTATTACTCCAACATCTTTAACTATGAAAATGTAAAGAAAGATCAGAAGATGAATTTCGGTCGTTAACAAACTTTGCTTTATAATATTTTAATCAGTTTCTGTTAGTCTCTACAACTTACCTCATGAATTAAAAACCGGATAAACTGCCTTAGATAGAAAATTAAGCTTCTTTTGTGTGTCGTGAGAGACATAACTCTATGTAAAGTAAATGTGACGATTTAATCGGCAAATATATTGTGAAAACAAAAATCATAGAAATAATATATAATGTTTATATAATGGTGTTAGATGAAGATATTGTAATATGAAGGCATTCCAGTCAGCGATTAAAGGTTGAGCATTACCTGACAAATAGGCATACACATATAGGATGAAAATTAAAACTGGAATATTAAAACTTGAGGTACGCCATAGGTCCTAACCATGCAAGTTCATAATTGTCTCGCTATAACTTTCAGATTTCAATTTCATATTTAGAACAATCATTTTCGCTGTGATATGCCATGAATAAATTTTGAGTGAATGTGAAACGGCTGATTGACAAACTCTTAATACCATCGAAAATCTCTTGATTGACATTCATAATAACGTAATTTACCATTTATATCCGTTTGGTAAAACTGTGAGAGCGGCATCTGTTGACCATTATTAAAGTCGAATTATATAAGTTTACACAAATAATCATGGCACATTTTATCTGTATATTTTTTCTTTATAATTATACTTGTCATAACACATTAGTATCGGGCCTATTCCATTTTTACTACATTCTTAATCTAGGCTCTTAAGGATTTTCAAGTATAAGAAAAGTATATAATAATAGTACTCCAACCACATATTCCCCTCGTGTAGGTTTGCGCCAAGTTCAAAACAAACCATTCTGTACTGTGATTAAAAAGATACCAGCTTCAACATGGCAAAGGTATAAACAATACAAAGTACATTATTGGTGACTTTCAAAGAACGCTATTATTATTTACTTTCTATTCATGATCCTAGTACTTTCTAAATTAATTATGTAAATACTGTGAACTACAAATTTTCACTAAAATTTAGCATAACTTCATTTACTTTGTACTGAAACTGTACTTTATTTTTATACCGTTATTTATTACACAATGATATATTTATCTCAGTCTTTCGCCAAATGCCCCCCCCCCCCCACTAGAACAGCGGTATGTCTGCGGACTAACAACTAACAACGCTAGAATCCGGGTACCAGATGGCACAGATAGCCCATTATGTAGCTTTGTGCTTAACTATCTGCGCTAGCAGTGAAAGGAAGGCAGCTAGTCATCACCTCTCATCGCCAACTCTTGGGTTACCCTTTTATCAACGAATAGTGGGATTGATCATCACATTATAACGCCTCCACGGCTGAAAGGGCGAGCATGTTTGGTGGGACGTGGATTCGAACGTGAGAATCGAGCGTCCTAACCACCATGCCGGGCCATACAGAATAGTGTGAGTGAATAATAGTATAACATATGTGGTCAAAATACAAATAATGAACTGTCACTTGGAGGCTCGAATATATCTCAAATTTCTTTATTTATTTGTAAGCTAAATAAAATTAGCTTATCATAAATCATATCTCAGCCAAATTAATTTTACACAAGAATTTTAAAGAATACTTGGTGTTTTATTTTCAATATTACTTTCAAAGTTCTAATCTTGATCGAACTATTGTAATGGTTAGGCATATTAAGAATCCTAATCGTGTTCAGCGATTTGTTACTGATTTTATAAACATTTTCCAAATTATTCAAGTTAAACAACAGTACCGTTATATAAGTTTCCATGTACAGAATCAAACTGAATATCACAATAAGAGAATGATCCTCTATAACAATTAAAATAACTAAAGAAAACGGGACGGGAACAAAATAATTGGAAACTAAACAAAGTCTGACCTTACGGTATAGGTTTTTAAATAGTTACACAACACAGATCAAGAGTTGAGAACCAAAAATAGCTTAATTAACATCGTTTCGCACAATCGGAAGCGGAAACACCGTCAGTTATATAATAAAAACATGGCTGCCATGCGAGGGTTAATAAAATCTTTAGGTCCTGATATTTCTGGTTACAAGCCGATTGGTAAGTATCATTTGTAATAATTTTAATTGTATCTTTATGTGTTATTAATACTGCCGTGTTTCTGCATATATATAAACAAAACGTATTTAAACTGTTTTTTCACGAACACAAATAACACAGACAAGTGTATTGGCATTAAAACTAAAAGTTTGTTATATAATATTACCACGTTAAGCCTTAAGGGTAAGTGATTCAGGTCACCCTGAATAAATATTTTACTGTTATTGTTAAACAATAGATCTGTGTTTCTAAATTTCAATATTTTGAATACTGTGAGAGGTTCTACTTGTAAAATAAATATATGAGCAAAGTTCATAATACAAAATTCAAATAATATAAAGATATCAATGTTTGGTAACCATCTTTATAGTTTATATTAATTTCAAATTACCAAATATGAGAAAAACACATAAAGTTGTCAAATTCAATTATCGAAATTTTGTTTCATATAAAGTATTTAGTCATTTTAATCATTTATTTAAAAAAACTTCTAATTGCTTCAATCTGTTTCAGTTTTAAGAGACAAAAATTAATGGTTTAATTAGTAATTATGATCTTGCTCAAACAAAATCTGTTTAACACTTGAAATGGTTTGGGGAGAGGGAGGAGTGGATTATATGATTTTATGGACCTTTGTTGATTACCACTGAAGATCTCTTCTACTGAGATACCAGGCAGGGCATGGTGAAAACACCATGTTGAGATACTTTGTACAAGTTCTGAAAAATAACTTCTAGGAATTACTCTCACACCTAAATGGCCCTTTTTCTTTTCCATCACTTTTGTTACATATTGTTCGGTAGAAGAAATATCACAAATTAAGCTTAATACTGATAAAGAAAAACATTTTAAGTAAAGGAAAATAGTCCTCTGCTTATATTTTAAAACAAAAAGTAGTATTAATATTTATTTATTGTAGTTATTGTCCCTAATTCTGAACCAGTAGATTAGAGGGAAGGCAGCTAGTCTAATCTAATCCTTGTTTTCCCCAAGTCCTACTGATGTAATTTTCTTAGCTAATCTTTTGTGGGACTCGTTATCAAAATCTCTTTAAAAGTCTAAGAATGCCATGTCCACACCCTTCCTTCATCCACATAATATGTACCATCCTTAAAAAAAGTGAAAAGATTAGTAAAGCAAAAATTCCCTTTAGTGAATCCATATTGATTTTCTTTTATGATATTGTAAAATTATTTTGAAAAGTGTATTTTACCATATTATAATTTCTTATTACTGAAGCAAAACTAACTGGGTTATAATGTTCAGAGCAATTATTATCATCCTTGAAAAAATAGGAGTAAATAGTAGCACAATCTTCAAGCTCCTGCCCACTGTCTGTTGACCAACCAAACCCTTGGGGAAAAATTGTTTGGTTCTGACACTTTATGTATTATTAACAGGCCCCTCACTAGCCAGTGAGGGATGGTTCTGACACTTTATGTATTATTAACAGGCCCCTCACTAGCCAGTGAGGGATGGTTCTGACACTTTATGTATTATTAACAGGCCCCTCACTAGCCAGTGAGGGATGGTTCTGACACTTTATGTATTATTAACAGGCCCATCACTAGCCAGTGAGGGATGGTTCTGACACTTCATGTATTATTAACAGGCCTCTCTCTAGCCAGTGAGGGACGTTTTTGGTGAAAAACAAACAAACTACCCAATCCAGTTTTTCTTAATTTGAACTGAAATTTTTTGGACATTTTTATTGGTTAAAAAAAAAAGAAGGCATTTCCCACATATTTTAGTATTGGGGCTGCAAAAAGTGATTTGAAGTGGTACGGGTACAGAAATCTGTCAACACATCATGAGGTTAACGGCCAAGCACAAGAAGCATGGAAGTCTCCAAATGACACACAGAGGTATTCAGGAACCGTTTAGAACCACCTTGGTAGATATTGTGTGACAAGCCGAATACAATATTATGCTTGTAGCTACTTTCAAAGTATACCTAGCTGCTCATCCTACTGCTAATTTATTGTGATGCTTCGACCTTCCCTACCGAATTGCAGGTGAAATTGTTCATATCTCAATTGAAAGCTAAACATAAAAAGGTGATAGCAGAAGCATAAAAGGTTGGCAATTGCTTAATTAATGATGCTGAGAATGTGGATTTATTGATATATACTGAATTTACTCCCAGCAGGTAGACCTTAGTACTAGCTAGTATGGAGACTTGAGGATGCTGTATTTCACTTAAATATTTATCAATTAACAAATTAAAACTTGTCTCAAAAATACACATCCAAAACCACCCTATTTGAGAGCTTCCAGATTGAACATACTTTTAATATTCAACAAATTGTAGTGTAAAGACACCCCTTGGCTTCGAGGGATGTGTTCATTTTCTAGATATTTTCTTCCATCACAGGATTAATGTCCACATGATTCAAGCTGACTCTCAAATTTTAACAGAATCCTCATGGTAATGATTATTGCTAATAAAAACAAAAAAGGATAAAAAAATATTTAAAAATATGGTCTCCAACTTAAAACCAACATACTGTAACTCTTGGAGTGCAACATTTATAGAAAAACTCACTTAGTGCCAAGTTTACTTTTAGTTAAACTCTCAGATTTAAAGAAACAAAGAGACACATTTTAATATTTCATTACTTCCCTGAAACTTGAAATAAGTAAACTTTGAGAAGTTTGAAGGGAAGGACTTTTTCCTTGTGGTGGCACAAAATTCCAAACTCGTCTGGTTAATATCACAGTTTTGAAGGCTAAGACAAATGTTATGTTTTGTTTTTTATATATGTACCTATGACAGTGTTCTGGAGGTGGATATTCATGTGTCCATGTCGGTGCTTTAGAAAAGGATGTGTCCATGATACTCTAGTAGTGTAGACGTGGATGTACATGTCTGTGGCAAGCTGCCTTTTGATGGTATATATATGTGCCTTGCCCATTGCAATGACAGAGTTAGGGTGCTCAGTCCCATAGACTTTAACACATTGACTGCCATGTGCCCCACTGGTGGGTCACAAATGACTTTTAGTTAGAGATCGTGTGACACACCAGTGGGTCACAGACAATTATGTTTGAAAGCCAAATTTCTCTTGTGGCATAAGAGTTTGAGACACTGTGACTGCTCCTTGGCACCTTTTGATTGTTTAATTTTTTTGTACTTCATTTATTATGTGGTAGCCAATGTGTTGAGCCAAAATTATAAAATGTGTGTGTTAACACTAATGACTCTGTGTTAATATTAACCCTTTCCACACGTGTCAAAGACCATGTCATCGCATTCAAAAATTTATTGAAGTACTATTTTATGTATTAATGTCATTAAGTTTGATATAAAACTGTAGATTGTAATTCAAATTATATATCATCTAATTTCTTGATTTAAAAGTAAATATTAAAAAAACACCTAAACATAGATTTTTTGTGTGTCATGTGATATGTTGAATGCAGCACTGGTTCAAATTAGATGTTTGTGATGTCAAAATACAAATTCTATAGTTTTGTACAAATTAGGAGCTTAAATTACTGATATTGACAGGCTAAAATATAAAATAAGAACCTCCTCCACGGTGAACAGAGTGCAGATGCTCCATTGTGTAGCTTTGCACTGTGTAAACAATGACAGCCGATTTTTATCTTAAAGTAAAAATATATTATAATTCTCAAACACATTAATCATTCTACAGAAAGTACATTCAAAACCAAAGTCAAAACATTACAGAAGTATTTAAAACAGAACACGCACCTGTAATAACAGCAGATAGTCCATTGTAACTTTGCTCTAAAACCTGTTATTTGTGCTTAATTAATAAATTACATTATTTTGTACAACCTAAATGCTTTTCATTTTTAAGATATAGAACTGGTAACTGAATTAAAAATACTGAATCAAATGCAGTGGCCCAGCTCACCTCTTTGCATTTTTGGAAATGCTCTTTTATATACAATTATATATGAATAACCAATCGAAAGCTCAGAATGTCCCCCTAGTGGTTTTCTCATCCATTTTTAAATATAAAGTTGTTATATCTTTCTTTCGATAAAAGATGGCATACAGGCATAGAGTCTTTAGTCTGCTCAAAATGTCATATATTTTAGACCCAAATACAGCCTTGTTACTAAAATTTATAAATTATAATTGAGTTCTTTGGTATTGATATAGTAATTTATAATTTTTTGGTTATTCAAATGTATATATATAACCTAAAAAAATTACTTTGTTTCACATCCTCCACATGCAAAATTTGATAATCCTTAGCAACCTATGGCAAGCAGCAA